TGTTTTTAAATTTGTACTAATTTTTACATGTATTATTGGCCCTTGAATAACATAAGAAAAGGAAAGTTGATTTTCAGTATTTTGCTAGGTTTGTACTCTTAGGATCATAAAGAAGTGCTCCTGAATCTGTAACTTTAATGTACATACAGCTCACTATTTTTAGCTCAATACTTAAATTATTAAAAAAAAAAAAATCTTTTGAAATTCTCTACAACCTTAGTATTATTATTCTTTGCCACTTACAACTATTGTATAGTAGTTTCTATAAAATGCCTTTCTAATGTAGAAAAAAAAAAATCTGTATTATATTCTACACTCTAAATGGACACTAACTGTTATGATACTGTGATCCTAAATGAGATACAGACTCAACTGACAACTCAGGTCTTCAGACAAGTCCCAGAATTCACAACTTGAAAAAAATAATAGAACAGAAACAATGGAAAAAGTCTTTCTCTGGAAAATATTTTTCAGGTAAAATTGCAACTTGTCATCTGCTGCTGGAAACCTTTTGGTTAATAACAAAAGGCTACGCAAAAAGTACCACATTAATTTGAGGAGTTAAGAGAATTAAGATGAATGCTATCTATTGGAGGTGTTCTAACTTTAGGCTGAAGATTCTGTACATATCTCCGACTTACCCACAGTATCTGACAAGATAAGAATCTCGGTTCAGTTACTGCATTGAAATGAAACAGCTCTCTGTCTTACTGTCCTGTCATACAGAGAATTTATTACACCTAAAATCAGATGCTTCATTTGAATGCATTGAATGAACTGAGTTTCTGGTCTTGCCAGATACTGTGGGTAAGTCAAAGATACAAATCATAGATTACTTCCCCCATTAACACAACTTGAGGGCATGAGCCCACTGTGGCTGTTGAGCCATTTAATAGTTCTCTCTTTCCAATTTCAAATATCCTACAGTAAAGCTATTAAGATCCTTCTGTGGGGCATGCAGGTAATAGTCTGTGCTTTGTGTGCTGTACTGTGATTAATCTATTCTGGATAAAGCCAGGAGGAAGCAACAGAGACTGGTACCTGAAGTCAGACAACTGACTTGTGAGATGCATAAAGGGAACTGTCTTTTCACAGACAACCAAACTTCAGGTTTTTTAACAGAGGACAAATTATAGCAGTCTGCTGCAGGGAAGATGTGCCAACCACAGTGTAATAGATGGGGACAATCTAGGATCTGACTTTGTGTTATTGTCAGAATTAGGACATTTTTGTTCTCAGGAAAGGTGTAGGTCAACACAGTAGGTCCACACTTTGGACCTAGAGAAAGTGTCTTATTGTTAATGTTCTGTCTCTAAAAAGACAGCAAAAAAACCCGTAGAATTTACTATGGCAAAATGTGAATGGAATTCCTCCCTTTTAGTATCTATAACAGAGTCTGCCATCTCAGGCTCTTTTTGCAGCCAGTGAAGAGAAATGGGCATTTTTAGGGCACAATTCATTTGATGTATTTTAGATAGTGACTTTTTAGTGAGATGAATCACAACATACAAATACTTATTTTTCTGCATTGGCTATAAAATAAGTGGGACTAGCACAGACATTCACATCATAAGTGTCTGTGTTTGGTCAAGTGAATGCCATTCTGAGAAAAGCTACAATGATTTCTTAAATAACAGGGCATATATCCAATTGACATATATCCCAAAACTCAGTAATGGAGAGTGGACTGAAAGTGTCATCTCAGAAACTAGGACTTTGAGTATCAGTCAACAAAGTTATATACTTCTCGGTTGCCATCATTCCTGGGAGCCTTTTTTGAAAAGATTCCATCTCTCTTGTCATTAAGAGTCACTAAATCTATTTATACCATAATTTCTTAGAAAACCATAGGGTACTGGAGTTCTTAGGAGCATTTTCTGTAGTATTTCATATAATTTCTGAGTTATATTGTTATTTGTCCTGAGCTGTCTGTGATATTGCTGGTGGCAAGAAGCTTCTACAAAAGGTGATTCAAAATAAAGTTGCAACGTAGGTGCTTTAAAGAAATCAGTCTGAGCAAAGTGATATGCATGCCATCACATAAAACTCACCACAAAACTAATTTCTGGATTTTGGAAGCTGTTTAAAAATAAGAGAGCTAGCATACCAACAACAGGGTAAAGCTAAGAACATATATTATATGTAGAATAAAATCCACAAAAAAAAAAAAAATCAACCTGCCATTGAGATTTTATATCTATTGTTTGCATTTTTAACTTATTTAAGATATTGTGGATATTTTTGCTGTTTCTCTTCTTAGTAAAAATGCTTCACTTAACTCCTAGAAGTTTAAATTAGCAATCACTGTAGTTTGAACTTGCAAAGAAATGTAAATTTTTTTTGCAAGTAGCTCTTTTACTTTACTTCATTTTCCCCAAACTCTAAAATTCCCTTCTTCCTCAAATTATACTGCAGTTACTGGTATTGTAAAAATAGGAAAAACAGATGATGAATGTGCACATTCAGATTTATCAAACTTATTCTTGACTGTATTGAAGAAAGTTTATTCCTGTGTATCATGTTCAACAGAAATAACTACTTTATTTATTAACCATGTCTTTATAATAATGATAGGACTTAAGACATGAAAAATGAATGCCTTATGTCACTAATCTGAAGCAATATTTTACAGTTTCTTCAGAGGAAAAGTGGGTTGAAAGTTAACATTAAAACACCCAAAGGAAAATCATCAAAGATGTTTTTCAGGATTTATTTACCCCCTGCTACCAAGCTTTATTTATTTAACTATTCCTTTGGAAAAATAGAAAATTCAAAAAAACATTTTTTGCCATTAGAAACCTTGATAGCAAATATTATTTTATTCCCATGGTTTGAGTTTATTTATAGTAGGTGACACACAGAGTAGTGGGAAAGGTCATTTGAGCCTTTATTGATCACTGTGTTTGTCATTCATTGTGTCTGTTTACCACACCTGACAGACTGGGCACAACATCCAGCCATCTTGTTGATGTTTTTTCTTTAGGGTTTCTTTTTTTCTAACAAAAGGTGGGGGAAATACTTTGATTAGGTTACAAAATTAGGCCTGACACAACCTAACAGATAAAACCAAGCATAATGTTAGTAAACAGATAAACAGAAGCTAGAGGCAAAAGGAGATAAGGATCTCCTAAAAAAAAAGGAAACTAATCTGTTGCAAGAAAGAGGTAGTAAACTTTTCTCCCTGCCTACTTTCCCTTTGAATAGTGGTGCATCACTGTAACGAAATGAGGCTCCAGCTGCTCACTGGATAGCAGAGATTTTCATAGGGAGTTACGTGCAGACGTGTGAAGTTTGAAGAGATGTTCCATCCCAAATGGAAGTCGTTTTCCTTGATAGATCACAGAGATATAGGGTAGCATGACCCCCTGTTCAGTGAAAGCAGCTTTAGAGAAAAGATCCCATGCTACTCACCTGCTTGGATCTGAAATTCCTTTTAGGCTGACATATAGCTATTCACCTGAGGCCTTTTTTCAATTCTGCCTAGAGCCAATTTTCTGACTTCTACTGGAAATCTTGTTATTAAAGTTGAAACCATCATCATGGCAACTGAAAGCTCCTACTTTATCTGGTCTGCTTCCTTTCTATGAAGCATTATTCACAAGGTCTCTAATCTAGCATAACTCAGAAGGCAGTAGCAGTGATGATATTTGCAACAGCACCTATTAAGCCCTCCCACTGCAGATCCTAGTTAGGTTGCATGGCCTAATTGCATTACAGTTCAAGAAAATATGTTGCAGATTTTTACCTCTAAAACCATCTCCACTAGTTATATAATCATCATCAATTCATGTAATAGATCAAGGCTAGACTAGACTATAAATGTCAAAGTTCACTGAACAGCAAAAATAATTTTAATTCTTTCTTGCAAAAACAAAATAAATGTAAGACTTAAAATAAATGTAAGGCTACCAGTTTGTGAATCTATTAAAAGTTTCAGAGATATAAGTTGGGGTCCTGTTGGTAAATCTGGCTGCAGAATTAGAGCTGAAGATGAGAAATTTTGGGCATATCTTGTTCCCATTGTATTGCTTCTACTGAAAAAAAAAATATTATAGCAGTATATTTTATGGGAGGCAATATCAAGTTCATCACACAAAACATTTTTTAAAAAAGCAACAAACATTATTCATCAAAACTTACTGAAATTTGTTTATTTGAAAAAGAAAAAATAGCAAATTTTTGATACCCCCACACCCATACACAGTTTCCTAAGACTTCTCTTTAGAATGAGTTATTTTATTGATCAGGAAGCTGCTGCCTAGGTACTCAGTGGAAAATCTTAATGAAACACTTATCTTAGACAAAGATTAGTAATATGGCCCGTGAAAACCAATTTTCTCACATTTAATCTCCTAATCTATTTTACATTATTTCCCCAGGGTACCATTAACTTCACAGACACATGGCTTTGGGCAAATAATCAACTATATGGAAGAATCTTGTGAGTTTGAGAGTTGCTTTGTAATGGTTAGCCATCTTTCCAAGTAGACTTTTCCCTTTCTGAAGTAGTTAAATGTAGTGCAGAGCCCAGCAATGTCATTTAAAAAAAAAAATAAAATAAAAATAGGAGATTGTATTATTTGGAAGTTATCCAATAAAAATTCATTTACTTTTTGATCTTGGCAGGATACCCCAAATGCACATTATTAGTTAAGCTCTCTGAAACAATATGTAAGGATGCCATGTTAAAGCATCTTTCGATAGCTGGCATAGGTTCATTACACACTATGCAAAGAATATCTCCCCAGAAGATATTTTTTAACACAAAAAATATTGTTTGTTCCTCATCATATAAAAACCCTTAGGGTTGTGCACCTCTGGTAATGCCACCATATAACAAGCTGTGAACGCTGTGAATCGAGAAGAGAGAAGAGAAGAACTGTCACAACTCAGTGGCTAGCATCACCTTTTGGGTTAAGATTACATCAAAGGATTTTTACAAATTAGTCATATACTCATGCAGGTCCATGTAGAATCTTTTGTATTTTTCTCCACACTAGGATTACAAATGACTAAATGATTGCAGATAACACAAAACCGGGAGAAGTGGATGGTATACCACAGGGTTGTGCTGCAATCCAAAGGGACCTTGACAGGCTGGAAAAATGTTCTGGCAGGAGCTTCATAAACATTAAGAAAGGTAAGTTCAACATCCTGCACCAATAGCAACTCCAGGCACTCGATATACACTGGGAGTCACCCAACTAGAAAGCAGCTTAGCAGAAAAGGACTTGGTAGTTGTAGTGAACATGAAGCTGAAGAAGAGCTAGCAATGTGCCCTTGCAGCAAAGGAAGCTATGGGGAAATAGCAGAAGATTGGCAAGCAGTACCATTAATGCACTCAAGTTACTTGCAGATGGATTCTTGAAAAACACATTTATTATACTAATCGTTGCTTGGTCTTGTGAGTTTGACAAGCAGAATATCTGTGTTTAGATAACATAGGCCTATGATAGCCTTAGATGCACCCTATTGAACAAGTTTAACACTCCTGACCTGTTGTGGAAAGATTGAGGCACAGTGGTAAACTACACCTGTGTGAAGCTCTGAATACACGGTTGAAAACAGCAGGGTTGGTGATCCTCTATCTCCATGCTGCCTGCATCCCCTTCTTTCATGCCTCTGCCTAGGTGCTGCTTTGGGGATTCCCTAGTTGGTGAGGTAGTAAAAATAAATTTACTCTTTGCATTTCATCCATGATTTTGTGGTGGTTCCTTTGCCCTGCCTGTGCTGGCTTACACAACAGTGAAGGGTGTCCTGGGGTGCATTAGGCAAAGCATTGCCATCAGGTCAAGGGTGGTGATCCTTCTCCTTTAATCAGCACTGATGAAGTGACACCTAGAGTGCTGTATTCAGTTCTGGGCTCCCAACTACAAGATAGACATGGATGTATTGAAGAGGGTCCAATAAAAGGCCACAGGACTGATTAAGGGACTGACACATCTCTTGTATGAGGAAAGGCTGAGAGAGATAGTACTGTTCAGTCTGTACTGAATACCTGAAGATAAGGTGTAAAGAAAACAGAGGGTCTTTCCAATTGTGTTCAGTGACGGAATCAGAGGCAGTGGACATAAACTGAAACATGGGTAGTTCCCTTTGAACATCAGGGAATACTTTTATACTGTAAGGGTGACACAACAGTGTCACAGGCTGCCTAGAGCAGTTGCGAAGTCTTCATCTTCAGATATCCAAAAGCCACCTAGACATGGTCCTGGGCACTTGGTTCCAGGTTACTCCACTTAAACAGTTAGGTTGGACTAGATGACTTCTGGAGGTCCCTTCGAACCTCAACCATTCTGTGATTCTGCAGTTCTGTAAAAAAACTGCTTACCTTTTCGTTAAATGAGACTACAAGGTGTGCTGTAGAGAAAACCATGACCAGATTTAGCCAGGGTCAGATTAAACTTTTCTCATGAGGCTTAATTGGCTTTGGTCAAGCACACTGACTTTCTTCACACAAAAAAATGTGTCTATATCTCTGTGCAATTCCATTACAACAGTGGTAATACCCAAGGTGCTTGATTATGGCAAAGTACAAGCTCTGAGCTATAGACCTCAGGCAAGATACTGGAGGCAAATGTTAATTTACCGAAGTCTTAAGTCTTGCTCAGAGATTAGCTGATATAGTCTTTGCTTTCAGTGAAGAGACTGAGATCTGCAGGGGTATCTTCAGACTAGCATGTCCCTCCAGTTTATTCAGATCAGTATCTAATAGACTCAAGGAATTTGGCTTGCCTGATAGCCCCATAGTATGTGATAGCTCTGTACTCACACATTATAGAGATGTACTGTATGACAATTGTCCATAAAAGTTTTACCTTGCTGTTGAATCTATCAGTGCTTGTATCCATGTCTTTCATTCATTGATGAGTCAATAGATAAAACATATTTAACATCTATTTAATTCAATCTTTATCTCATCTTTCTATAAATCCTTTCATGTGAATAGTGTCCAGTGCTATTTTCAGTGCTCAAAGATTTCTGCCTTTATTTCTGATGCAGCCTAAACCCCCACTCCCATATCTCTAAAAGCTTCTAATCTCTCTCTGGATGTTACAGAGGGATGTCTCTTTCCTCTTCATGCTCATGCTGTTTCATTTTCTCCTCTGATTTGTCTCTGTGGAGCAGAACTTCAGGGCTATTTCAGATTTCTTTGTCACTTTTTTTTGCCTTACAGGCTTTTTCCACATGCCATTAACTCATTGTCTATATCATTTTTCTAAAACCCATCTTTTGCACTACAACTTACTCGATAAAACATATCCAGCTGTATATACAGCCATTCATGCAGTGACGGATTAAACAGTGCTTTATGGTCTAAGTCAATATGTTTTCACACTTCTTAGTCATATCCTCCTCTTGATTAGATTTGACTTGTCCACACCAGAAGAAATATGTTACATGTTGCTCAAAGCACTATGGCCAAAGTAAGTTTTGTGGCTTCATTTTATGACTCTGAAGTTGTCAGATGGGAAAGGCACTTCATCCTCCAACACCCACATTGAAACTAAGCTCTTTACTGTCCTGTATTGTTTGGTAACTTGCTTCAGCTGAAGCATCTTTTGTTCCCAAACACTCTATCTTTTTCCCAGGCTGTTAGAGTCTGTGTATATCTGTATGCTACATCAGTGTTTGAAATAATCTCTCACCTTCTGTGGATCAAGGATCAATACGCTTTTCAAATCCCTTTTTAAAATCCATTTGTTTGCCCATCCATTTATCAGTGTTAATTTTGAGTAATATACCTGCTTATATGCCTCTTTTTAACTTTCTGTATTGTCACAAGACAGGGTAATCTTTAAACCATTTATTTTGATCATGTGGATATACACAGTGGTAAGCCATTCGAAAAATGCCCTTACCACTAGTTTAAAACCTGAGCGCTACCCTCTGGATTTGTTAACCGCATTCTGAATTAAACCTTCCTCTCTTTCAGACTAGTTTTTACTTGCCTGCTGCCAGTGACAGCAAACATCCTGTCTGTCAGCCTTAAACGTTTTATAGGTACTTCAAGGTAGGTAAGACAGACAGTGAATCTTGCTGGGAGTCTACCTGAGCCCCAAAGAATAGCCTATTAATTATAATTCTCTAGTTTGCTAACAACCATAACTCAAATGTATATCACAATCTAGACTTCTTTAATTTTGCATAAGAGCATAACACATGCAAAATTTAATAATAGTCATGTAAAAAAATTACATTTTTCTTGTCTTCTTTTTTCCTGAAAGTGTTTTCTTTGACACTTTGTAAAGTTGACTGAATGCAATCCTTGAGGTACCATGAGCAGTCTTCCAAAAAGAAAAGCTGAAAAACAATTTGAACAAATACTGAGTCAAGTAAAGCAATTCAGTTAAACAATGGTGGAATGGTATGTCACAAGGCTGAGGAATGACCTACTTCTGAGTGTCTTAGTTAAACTGGGGATTGCACACAAGGGGTTTAATAATCCGGTCATGTTTTTTTGTGTGTTGTTTATGGATTTTGTTGATATAATGAACGTGGTAGTGGATCTGTTCTATTGTCTCTCCTGGAATACAGACTCTGCAGTAACAGGCAAAGCTGCATGACTGATTTGGAAATATTATAATATAAAGGTAACACAGTTGTCACTTGTGACAGTCATAAGTTCTTCTGCAAGAAAGCAACTCTTCTTGAGTTACTGGGATACAGGCACTCAGACAGACCAGAGTATAATGCAAAGATGACCTTGTTGTTCCATCTCTGCACATCTGTAAATACAAGCAGGTTCAATGTATTGGTTAGGTAACACTAAGACATTAACCCAGGTTGGCATACTTAAGGGTAAAGGAATACCACAGAGCCTTTTTTGCACATCTGATTGAGGAGGAAAGAGATTAGGAAACTAGACAGTAATCTTTGAAAACAGGACAAGACACAAATCACTAGTATTGTCAGAAAATGATGAAGTATTACAGTGGATTGAATATGAAAAGGTACACCACAGCAAGTGCATGTATATGGTCTGGAGAAATTATTATTTCCTCTGAAAAGATAAAAAAAAAAAAAAAGAAATCTTATTCTCAATTTGTCTTCTTGGGAACAGCTATATTGACATCAAAATTGAAATATGCCAAAAAAATTTAAATATTTAAATTTAAATATTTAAAATTCAGTTCTTGCTTTCAAGGAGATGGCTTATTAAGACTAGACTTTTACTGGAAAGTCATTCAATATTTGTTTTTTAAAACAATTTAAATTCCTCATGAGTGTTGTAAATTTTGCAAGAGAAAATATCACCCTATCATGTGACAATCAGTTTTGGCCTTTACACAGCTTTCACGTCTTTACATATCCTATAAAGAACGGCTTCAAAGTGTAAAGGTGTGTCATTTTATTGTATTAGCTCACTGTCTTTTTATTGCTGCATCATTTTAGAAATTCAAGCGAATTATAGTTTCATATTACAGCCTAAAACTGCACACATTCTGTTTGAAGGCAACACATACATGTGCATAGAGATATAAAGTCTTAACAGCTCTCTCTGAAAACACTGAGAAAAACAGTATGTCTCATAGAAAGGAAAAAACTTAGAATTCATACATATTTATTAATTATTCCATTTAACTTCTTAAGGGCAGCTTTATGAAACAAATTACATTTATATAGCATTCTGATAGCTACTTAATTGTGCATGAATAATGAAGGCATAAAATCTTCAAGAAAAGCTCTGAATTCAGAATTTAACTATGAATCAAAGCCTTTTTAATATATATTTTAAAGTCTTAATTTTGAGTAATGGTGAATGCTATGCTCAAGTGGTCTTAAAGACCATTGGGAACTCACTATGGGAGCTTCTGAGGCTATTTTTCAAAAGATGACTAACATCACCTACAAAAAAGGTAAAATTTACCTTTTTTTCCTTGCAAACTTCACTTGTCTACTGTTCCACAATGCAATGCTATTGACTGGAAACAAAGCTGGCAACAAGAAGCAGTTACAGGAAGATGCAAAGAGTTCTGTCTGTATATATGTATGTGCACGTTTTTAGCTAAAGGCTTACAGTGTACGTATATCAAATAGTAACTTCAAACTGGTTGGAAGGAGCAGGTTTAAGAGCAGGTTGAAGGCTGTCAAGTACGCGTCGGCACTGCCATCTGGTGTTAGTGATGGCTCCATGCCTCCTCTGTGACGCGCCCTAGCTGGGTAGTCCTTCCTTTCAGTTCGTTCAGTTAGTATCAACCTACCAATAGGTTTTATGAACAAAGAAACCTCACCGAAATGGTGTTCTGCTTACAACGATTTCACGGAATCTAGTTGTAAAACAGGAATGTTCCAATGACTTGTTCGAAACCAACACAGGAATTGCAAGTGTTTTCCTTGGGAGGGTGGACACACTGGGCTCTTCCCTTTCTCTGCATCAGCTTTTGTAATAAGAGTCCTATGTTCGTCCAGTCTCGCCTGCCATTCCCTTAATTTTTATTCCTAATCCAACATAATAATGATTTAATTAAAACCGCAGTGGGGAAAAACTAATACAGGAAAAGCTAATACAGACCAACAAACGTAGCTGCAAGTCTCCTTCCTCACCCTTTGGGACTTCAGTCTGGCTGCTCAGAGAAAAGATCAGGGAACAGTGTAATACTGCAGTCCAAGCAGCAATTCTGGCACTTACACACATCCTGCAACAGAAAAAAAAAAAAACCCAAAAAACACTACAAACAAAAAACCCAAAAAGAAACCCCAACCAAAAAAAAAAAAAAAACAAACCAAAAACCAAAACCAAAACCCCAAAACAAACCCAATATTTCTTTATTCCCATATTTTAAAAATAAAAAATTTAATATGTTCAACTGTATTGCACTGCTGCATTTATAGGTGCCAGTTCCTACAAGCACTCCAACCCAGACTACTTGACTTTTCAGTAGTCAGGTCAGTTCACACCATTATTTGAGAAGTGTCAGTATTTAATCCAGTGATCCTCTGATAAATTTTTAAAAGTGTATTGCTTCGAAAATCAGGAGCTGTAATGGGGGGAAGAAGGGGGAAGGAAGGAGGAAAGAAACCAAATGAAATCCAAACTGCATGTGTAACACTGTCTTTGCTAAAACAGGGGCAGTCTTTCATTTCCATAACAGCTTGCTGGAACCCAAAGACACCCAGCAACCACTGTGCTGTCACAGGTGGAGGGGCAAGAGTTCGGAGATTCATGGCCCTGACAGCTCCTTACTGATATTTATTTTCATTGGATATTAAGGAAAAGGAGATAATTGCTGTAACCTAAAAAATAGCTACATTAGACTTTTTCAGCTTAAGGATAATCAACCTGCGGCTATTGAGCCCACCCTCAAATAAACAGGGACAGATATCTATACTGTTATTAAGTAGGGGTTTTCTCCTTTGTGCGACAGGTAAGTTGTTCTTATTTTCAACATCGTAATTTTAAATCGTTCAGTGTGCACCTGATGTCCATTTACTGCAGTTCATCTTGAATCTATATAGAAAAAACTTTGCAGTTGAACCAATACTTGCATTTACCTACCTGTTCTCCGGAGTCTAATGGACTCATATTGTTAGATATATTTAATCACTCTGGCAAAGCAAATATAGACTGAATTTTGCTCTTGGAATGTTTTTTGTTATTAGGCCAGAAAATTTTCTATATGACATGAAAAAACTTTTCTGTAATTCCTAATTTGGCCTATTTTGTGTCAGTTTAGATTTCAGCGCTTTAAATATGGAGTTCCTTAAATGCAGGGCTAAAAACTGCACATACAGTGCTGTTTACTACTTCACACAGAATCATGGAATCATAGAATAGTTAGAGTTGGAAAGGACCTTAAGATCATCTAGTTCCAAACCCCCTGCCATGGGCAGGGACACCTCACACTAAACTATGTCACCCAAGGCTCTGTCCAACCTGGCCTTGAACGCTGCCAGGGATGGAGCATTCACAACTTCCCTGGGCAACCCATTCCAGTGCCTCACCACCCTTACAGGAAAGAGCTTCCTATTTATATCCAATCTAAATTTTCCCTGTTTAAGTTTGAACCCTTTGCCCCTTGTCATATCAGTACAGTCCCTGATGAAGAGTCCCTCCCCGGCATCCCTATAGCTCCCCTTCAGATACTGGAAGGCTGCTATGAGGTCTCCACACAGCCTTCTCTTCTCCAGGCTCAACAGCCCCAACTTTCTCAGACTATCTTCATATGGGAGGTGCTCCAGTCTCCTGATCACCCTCATGGCCCTCCTCTGGACTTGTTCCAACAGATCCATTCCCCTTTTTATGTTGAGGACACCAGAATTGTACACAATACTCCAAGTGAGGTCTCACGAGAGCAGAGTAGAGGGGCAGAATCACCTCCTTTGACCTGCTGGTCATGCTCCTTTTGATGCAGCCCAGGATACGGTTGGCTTTCTGGGCTGCAAGCGCACACTGCTGGCTCATGTCCATTTTCTCATCGACCAGCACCCCCAAGTCCTTCTCCGCAGGGCTGCTCTGAATCTCTTCTCTGCCCAACCTGTAGCTGTGCCTGGGATTGCTCCGACCCAGGTGTAGGACCTTGCACTTGGCATGGTTAAACTTCATGAGATTGTCATCAGCCCAACTCACAAGCATGTCAAGGTCCATCTTGATGGCATTCTTTCCCTCCAGCATATCAACCAAACCACACAGCTTGGTGTCATTGGCAAACTTGCTGAGGGCGCACTCAATCCCACTGTCCATGTCACCGACAAAGATGTTGAACAAGACTGGTCCCAACACTGATCCCTGAGGGACACCACTCGTCACATGTCTCCAGCTGGACATTGAGCCATTGACTACAACCCTTTGAATGCGGACATCCACCCAGTTCTTTATCCATCAAGTTGTCCACCTATCAAATTGATGTCTCCCCAATTTAGACACAAGGATGTCGTGTGAGTCAGTGTTGAATGCTTTGCACAAGTCCAGGTAGATGACATCAACTGCTTTACCCCTGTCCATCAGATCCATAGCCCCATCATAGAAAGCCATAAGACAGCTATAAACTTTCCATTTGTACACGGTTTCTATATATTAAATTTGCTAGAAAAATCAGACATTGTTATGAATAATAGCCCAAATACATTTGTACTTAAACAAATGAGAACACAAATAATGAGCTTATAGACTTCTTTTTAGTTAAGAATCCATCAGAGTTTTTCCTGTCTGATCTGAATTCCGTTTCTTTAGTTTGTGGCCAGATCTTTTTCAAAAACATGTAGTCCTACATAGGTTAATGCTTCTGATTTGGTAGCCAGAAACAGAATTTATCCTGTTTTAAATAATAAAATTACTAATTTGAGTATGTTTTATTGTTTCAATATTGTGATATGACTAGACAGTCCTCTTTCTTGATCTTGAATTGAGCTATGGAGTGGATTTCTGATACTTTCTTTGTACAATTCATCTAATAAGAGTAAGGACTTCCCAAAATTCACCTCAGATGTGTCTGATCTAAGGCAGGCATCTATCTTTCTTCTTCTGTAGAAAATGACTCTTCCAGTGAGAACTTTTCTATCATAGTACAGAGGTCTAAGGCTAGAGAATGCTGCAGTCTTGATACTTGCCTTCTCACTGCAGGGAAGGTATCTCATTTTTGCCTGGTAGTTCTGGTATCTATAATTCTCCTATGAGCAATGACACTGTCATACAATAGATTTGGCCTGAGCTGTCTTTGGAAGGAGACTCCGGTAGACAGGGAGACAATGCACTTCATCTCTTGCCATCAAGCTGCGATCTGACAATTACACATGGGAAACTCATCTTCTTGTCATTCCTACTACACTGACATCACAATTCCAGCCTAAAATGGGTAGGAAAAAGTGTGCTTTCTTCCTTTACTGACAAAAAATTAAAAAAAAAAAAAAAAGAGAAAAAAAAGCACACTTAAATTATAGACAACTGTACATTAAAATTGAAGAGGACAATGATTAAATAAAATTAATTCAACCTTAAATGGTATAGGTTATGAGTGTTTGAAGGATTTGATACATCTGACAGTAAGTTGATTTGCTATCATGATTATCAGAGGGGAAGTTCTTGTAATACTGTGGTTTTCTTTCATAGGTGACATTACTATATACCGTTCTTCACATGAGACACAGCTTGAAATATTGTGATAAAATGAGATGCTTGCGGAAACGATCAGCAGTGTCATTCTTAGGAGTTCTTGTCATTTGCTTGCTGTTCATGAATTTGTACATTGAAGATGGTTATGTTTTGGTAAGTTTTTCAGGTGGAAGAAATGATCCTGGAACAACAGAACATGACACATCCCTGGTTAAGCCGTAAAGTTCATAATTTTTGCAGTACCACCCTGTTAGTGTACCATTAACTGTGAAGTATGATTAAAAATTGTGCTTTATAATGAAGCCATCTTATCAATATATACTGCACATAGTGTGTGTCAGTAAGACCCTAACAGTCCTTTTCACAGAAGTAAATAGGCCATTGTGTATTGGAAGTATGGGAGATAGTGAATGTAGTATGACAAAAATGCAATACACAAATAGTAAAATCCTTGCATGGATTTAACAGAACCATAGATAACTTGCTAGTGATTTTAATTTAAAATACTTTACTTATAACAATATCTTAAATATTTACAATATTAAGACTATGCTAGTACTTTTTAAACAATTGAAAACACATGCTTCTAGCATGTTACTCCATTACAGACAAATTGCTTTCTCTAACAGTATTCGTACTAGGGTTTTGCACTGTTTTATTTATTCATCATTTCTTGGTTGTGATGAAATTTGACCTGGCTTATCACATATTTTATTTTTTCCAGTGGTATTTTCCCTGGTGCTTCTTCTCCACTCACTAATTGCTTCAAAGTCCCCCAGATGTTTCTGAAAGTGCTTTTATTATCACTGCTAATGGTGTTCCTCTTAATTTGAAATCTTTTCCTGTGATATTTGCCAGCTCCCCAGATGGCTCCATGTCTTATTCCTAATTTGCTGGGGTTTTTTCCGTTTTTTAAAAATTCACTCCCTTCATTGCTTCTATCATCACAGTTCTGGCATGTTTGCATTCATGTAGCTCCCAGACAAGTTTCTTGCCAAGTCTTCTGGCAATTCTCCCAGATCCCCTGATAACTTCATGGTACATCAAGCACTTTCTCAAATATATTAGGTTGTTGACTTTTTAGTTTATTTATTTTTGTTTGTTTGTGGTTTTTATTTGTTTGTTTTCAACTTTCCTGACCATGTCTGACAGCTTTGTTACCTTGTCTGGTGTGTTTTCTCTGCTGAGGTAAAAGATGAGCAGTTTCAGTGTTGTTGGTCAGCAGACTTGGGGATAGCTTTCAAGAACAGAAGGCTAACCAGTTCCCTTCAGGGAATGGGAGTCTGAAAGTCCTCAGAGACCCAAAAGCCCTCTGACTTTGAAATTGTAGTAAGTTTCCTGCTGGAGTATCTCTTGAAGTTAACTGACAGAGGAAGGCAACTGACACAGTTTCTCTTCCCAGTCTCGGGCAGCAGGCCGTGCAAGGGGATTCAGGACTACTATTTCTTTCACCAAAGCTAAGTGGCCTTTTTCAGGACAATAGAATATTACAGTGAAATTCCTTGTGGCAAATTTTAAGAAAGGAGAGAACTTTTCATTTTTGCTCAGACAATCTCACTTGTCTGAAGAATCCTTTCACTGTTTTCTTCAGGGCATTTGCTGTGGCAATGGGTCCACCTCAGAAAATTGCTTAAGTATGTTTGTTAAGGACTGTACAATGTTGATGCATGTGTGTCAGCAGAGCAGTGTAAGGTGCTTCATCTGCAGCTTGTGAGCCACATCTAATCAAATATTTTGAAGACATACTGAATTAATACAACCAGATAGCACAATATATGAAGTGATTTTTTTATACATATTATGAGTTGTAAGAGAACTGTAATTGAAACATGCCTTTTGCACACTTCTGGGAATGCTAATCATTATTTTAGGCACTATGAAAACAACAGTACTATTGTAGCTGACACAGCATCCTTAGTGGAGCAGAGTATCTTTATAAAGAATGGAGAACTTTTGGCACTTTGCCCAGTGGAACCCACAGAAATCTCCCAGGCTTCAGCTAACACTGGAATGTAAGTTAGTGGTTTGTTAACAGATGAAAGCTAGAACTACCATAGAAAAAATTAGAGAAAACTAAGGAGACCTAATCAAGCTCTTCAGCTTCATTGACCTCTGCATAGTAGTCAGAGAGAGAAGAACCAGATTTAATTTTTTTTGCAAAATCCATATTTCAGTTTTTCTTTTCATTCAACAAAGGAATGAAAACAACAACAATTTTAAAAAGGATTGTTAGCCACAAAAGACATTTCTTAAAGAGAAGAAAAAAAAAAAAAGGAAAATTGTAGTGGTCAGTTTACATATTTTACTTGTTAAAATCAAAACATTTTATCCTGACATTCTCTATTTCCAAACATTTTGAAACTTTTTATGCAGAAAAACCTCAGCACAATGGATTTCCATTCCAAAGCCTTATGAAACAAACTATTGTGGTGTTCCATTCTGTAACCAATGACACATGATGTTTTTTGACATTACAAAAAGGCTGGGCTTAAAAAAAGAAAGTTTTTGGACCATCCCTTTTTCTTTTTAATTTGACATTTTTTGATTTTCATAGAAAATCTGAAGTTTGGGTGCATTCTCTTCCTAGCCTATTAAGTTACATTTTAATCTGGAATTTTATCAGCATAAACCCTCTTCTCATATCTTATGGGCAAATGCAAAGTATCATAGGAGCTCTAGAAAGAAATTAACTGGAAAGGCATTGCAGTTGAAGAGAGAGTAACAGTGCAGGTGGATGCACCTTTATGTCTGCCAAAGATCTTTACTAAACTCAGAAGTGTATTATTTATTACTTCTACAAAAGAAAAATAATGAAGTTAAAATGAACCTAAGATTGGTTGACAAAAATCTTTCTTTGTGCTATAAATATATATTTGACTTTTTTTTTAGTATTTATACCATTAAATATGAGTGCTGTTTACTGTTTCTGTGGTTGTTCTTGTTAGCATCAATACTATCACTTCACAATGCAGTATTTAGTTTTTAGTGGTTTTACATACTGTATATATCAGAAGAAATGAACTTATTCAATGGCCTGTCATCAGACTAGAATTCACCCATGTAAATTATATAATCATTCCTAACTTTAAATTCAGTCTCATGACACTACAACTTGTTAGATATTTTGCCTTTTCTTAAGGACTAAGGAACAGATTTTCCCTTAGGCCCAACTGAGCTTATGGATAGAGCACTCCTAAATGAAGCTGCTCCTTCCCTTAAGTGAATTTATGATGGCTAAGGAAGCCTCTTTAAAGAAAAAGACAGGAGAAGGAAGCAGTAAGAGGAAGTATAGTAATAAATTTGCCTTTTTTCCTATGCCATCAAACTGTTCATGAAAGCCAGCAAAAGTTTCGGCTGTCTCGATGACTGCGTGCATTTCTTCTTGTCACAAACCTGAGCTGAAGCTACTCGGAAAAATCACAAAATGAGCCAGCTGCCAAGATACAGTTTCATCTTTCTTTGCAATTGTTTTGTGGGTTGTTGTTTTGGGTTTTTTTTGAACTGAAAATATTTTCAAAAAATCTCCCTCACTTCTCCATCTATGAAAATTCTCTCATCTGTTGCTTGTTGATGCTTTCTTATACATCTTCTGAATACTGCAGCATTTTTTTTTTAATAATTTAGTGTTTCCAACCTTTACAGAGCTTTTGCTCAAAATACTTCTTTTTTCTTTCCCTGTTTCCGTAATCTGAAGGGTTATGATATATTTTTCTGTAGCCAAAAATGTATGATATTCAGTAATGGGGCTTTTAAAAGAAATGAAGTGACATCTACATGCTTTCACAAAAGATGACACTGAAAATTGTTGTTCTTGGAACCCTGCATGTCCATGTTTCCTCTCTAGCTGGTATTCACAAATGTGTTTGTCTCTCTCCCTCTCCTTTTTGTTTTCTCACTAATAGGAAGGGGACAAGCAATTACTCAGAGAAACAGCCACTCACCAGCTCAACCCAGAGCGCTATGTTCACACTTTTAAAGATTTGTCTAATTTCTCAGGATCTATAAACATTTCATATCGCTACCTAGCTGGCACGCCTTTGCCAAGGAAAAGTAAGTAACTGTAATCTGAATGTTATAATTTAAAAATGGCTGAAAACCACATAGTCCCTGTGATATTTCTAGACAAGAGGGGCTGAGTTAATCAGTGACAACCTCAGAGAGTTAGTGAAACAGCTATTTGCCTCTGCACAGGCAGTTCCTGGGCAGCTGTTAGTTCACCCTGGCCTCACAGCTTGGTTACCTGCTGATCAAATGCCTGACTTGTAGTTATCCTGCAGACAGGACTTAGATGGTCTGTGGGAGCACATCTTTGTGGATCTCCTCGCAGGCCAGGAGATGATTAAGAAAGCAGGAACAAGGCATGTGCTGGTGGTGATCTATAACCACCCCGAGACTCTACTGTCCGCATCTGTTTGTATAACCAGTAAATCCAATTTATGGTATGCTGGCTTCACATAGATACACCTTTCAGGTCTCCTGTTCTGCCAGTCCAACAGCTGTGAATATGCTTCCTTGCTCATTTAGCTGTGATAAGAAGGAAGGTGAATTGTGCTATTATGGTGACAGTAAAGGAGGATTCTTCTTGCAGCCATCTTTAGATGGATTATCTAGATATTCTGACTCTAGGCAGGGTTCAAGACTTTCATCTTGAAGTGAAATACTGCCATACCTAGTTTTTAGACAGGTGTCACCTGGTTTCCAAACTGATCATTTCACAAACATAAACAAGGGTCAGAAGTCCAAGCATAAGGGATAAAATAAAATCATCTGTGATTTGTTGGTATTCATAGAAAGCCATAAGTTTTTTTCAGATCAGATTTGAGAAATTTTGGGCTCTGCAGGCAGTGTAAACGGCTTCTGGGGGTTGTACTTCACTGTACAGGTGCATTTTGAGCAGACTTAAGCCTTGGGGGAAACTCTGAATCAGTTTCTTAGAGCAGTCTTTTACAAAACACAATATTTTAAGAAAGCTGGGGTAGGTTCAACTGAAGTATGACCTGTCAATTATAAAGTTTTAACAGTTTTTTACATCAGAAGTTAGAAAAAAATAGATATATTAGAACATAGCATACTCATTTCAACTGCGGGCAAAAATGCAATGGCAGTGATTCCAAACAGCAGAGATGAATATTTTTCTCTTATAAATAAGATGCATATCTCCCTAGAAAGACGTAAAAGATTTAGAAAATATTTATACAACCACAGGTATGAGGTAGTAAGTTCTTTTCTACTTTGAAATAATATCTAAATTACATTTTGCAACTGAAGTTCCCTGTAAAATGCTCAAGGAGTCCTGAAAGCTCATTAGAAGAACTACTAGCAAGGTAAAATTGGAAAAATTCAGTTAAAACTTAACACAGAGAAAAATGTATTCATGCAATGTTCATAAAAATGTAAAATCATGCTTAAGTGTAACTAGTCTTGCTTAGAATGAGAAAAGTTTGGCAATTAATATATAGCTTAAGTTGTTGTGCTGCATTTTGTAGCTCCTTGTGTGTCAATCATATCTCATAATCCCTTATCTTTTAGCAGATTTTAGAGCCTTATAATTGTCTGTGTGATTTCCTCTACCAGGCATATGTGTGCACACTGCTTTGGCTTTTGTCCACTACATGCCATTCCTTGCAGTTAAGAAGTGAATGTTTAATGCAACAGTCTTCTTATGTCTATTTGCTTGTGATGTGATTCTTCTTTCATAAAAAGGCAATAAACACCCTTTGTTACATGCAGCTTAGTAGACTCACATACCAAATTTCTCAGTCTTCACTATTTTTTATAGTAAAGTTTTACTAGTTTTATATAATGTAAGCACAGCTCTGGAGAACAGCTTTGTGGTGGAATTTGGTCAATATGAGATACTCAGTTTTTGTTTGAATTATCTTTTGTACAGGGTATCTTACAATTGGGCTATCCTCTGTGAAACGGAAGAAAGGAAACTACTTGCTTGAGACCATCAAGTCCATATTTGAGCAATCAAGTTATGAGGAACTCAAAGAAATTGCAGTGGTAGTGCAACTGGCAGATTTTGACTCAGCCTGGTGTGAAGCGATGGTCCAGGATATTTCACAGAAATTTGCACACCACATAATTGCAGGCAGATTAATAGTGATTCACGTCCCTGAGGAGTATTATCCTGTACTGGATGGTCTGAAAAGAAATTACAATGACCCAGAGGACCGTGTGAAGTTTCGATCCAAACAAAATGTAGATTATGCCTTTCTTCTTAACTTTTGTGCTAATCTTTCTGACTATTATGTGATGCTAGAAGATGATGTTCGGTGCTCAAAGAATTTTTTTACTACTGTTAAGAAAGTAATTACCTCACGAGAAGGGTCTTACTGGGTGACTTTGGAATTCTCCAAACTGGGTTACATTGGAAAGCTTTACCATTCCCATGACCTCCCACGCCTGGCCCATTTTTTATTGATGTTCTACCAAGAAATGCCTTGCGATTGGCTGCTTATCCACTTCCGTGGGCTGTTGGCTCAAAAGGAAGTGATACGTTTTAAGCCATCTCTGTTCCAGCACATGGGATACTACTCATCTTACAAAGGAGCTGAAAACAAATTAAAGGATGATGATTTTGAAGAGGAATCATTTGATATCCCTGACAATCCACCTGCAAACTTACACACCAACATGAATGTATTTGAAAACTATGAGGCAAGCAAGGCTTACAGCAGCATTGACGAGTACTTCTGGGGCAAAGCTCCTTCTACTGGAGACTTCTACGGGATTGTATTTGAAAGGCCCATTAAAGTCAGTAAAATTAAAGTTGTCACTGGAACTGAAGACCGGCAAAATGACATTTTGCATCATGGAGCCCTGGAAGTAGGAGAAAAGATTGTAGGAAGTAAAAATGGGAGACAATGCACCACCTACTTGAGATTAGGGGAATTCAAAAATGGGAATATTGAAATAACAGATGTAGAGCACAAAGTCCTGTTTGATATTAACTGCATGAGAATACTTGTAACCAAAAGTCAAAAAGAATGGCTGATCATTAGAAGCATTAGCGTCTGGACTTCTCAAACACCAAATCAATAAAGTAAAGCCACCTGAGAAGGTACAGAATGCATACAGTCATCTGGGTCCCAACTGGTGTCATTCCCTAGAAAAACTGACATTTCAAGCTCATCACTAAAGACGCAAAAAATCTGGGGAAATCACAAAACAAGCAAAGCAATTTATTTTTTACTAGCTTGGCCAGGCAATATACAAACATTTGTTGAAATTTTTGAATTTTATAGGAAATGCAAAGTTCTCAAACCTCACTTGAGATCTTCAAACCCTTTTTTATTAACATTTCTCTGTGAGAGAGATCATTTGGACTAAACAGGACTAAACAAAACGTCCTATAATTACCAAAAGTTTTAAAGCTATGACCAGTTTGTTGTGAAAAGAAATAAGATTGCACTTTATGCATATATAAATTTAAAATGTTGTGGTAGTATGCATTTGTACAATAGCTGGTGATGTGTTTCTTTTAAAGGCAGTTGTGACAAGGAAATCTGCCCCGTAACTGGCAGTTTCATTCTGAGCACTGTAAGAAAATAGCGTGGCTAATCATTTTCAAAAGGGAATGTATGTAAAATTATAAATCTGACATGACAACTATGTATAAAATACATAATTGCATCTGTTAGCCTGTCTCAACAAATATCTTTTGTTCTTTTTCCTGCGTCCTTTCACTGAAACAAGCACTATTTGGATACTATATTTCTTAGGGGACCAATTTACTCTCCTTATTCAAAAAAAGATGCCTTGCAGTAAGCAAGCACTCTGTTTGAGTACAGATGTCACTATCAAACCCAAGCACCTCAAGGGCAACACTGTTTACTTAGACAGGCATCTTAACAGATCTCATATTCAGCATTTTCTGTTCCTTCGCCATATGCAGTACTCTCTGTGAGAGGTTTTCACATAGCTAAATACTACAGCATGCTTTCAAAGGCTTGCTATGCGTTCCATATCTACATGTACAGTCCATTTACAAATGTAAAGTGTATCAGGTTAACCAACTGAAGGTGAATGTAATCACCAGACTTTCCCAGATGATGTGTAGCCAATAGGCTGGACACAAAATGAAGAATCTTGATTCAATGAAAAGGTAATACGTTTCTAAGTTTACTTCTCCCCCCCCGCCTTCAGTTTTCTAATTCTGATCATGCTGGTTTTGTAGACATCTTCCCACTGCCTTTGGTTATTCCCTGTAAGCTTATTTTGCCTGGCTTTACGCAGTAAGCAAAAAAGCTTCCTCAGTCATCATGACTGCAGCGTTAGGTCTGGGGTTTTAGTGCGTCACACAAGGAGATTATATAGCTGTATGATCTATGCCATTATGCATACATTTGGATTAGCAGTATCGAGGGGACAGGTCCTCTAAGAAATTAGTTAGACTTTCTCAGAAGACACGCTTAGAAAACCAGGAGCATCAAGTGTGACACAGATGAACACTGTATTGGAAATTTTATGAATACTGTAGTTATCAATAGGTTTTACTTAAATATGGAAGGCAAGGGTTAAGTTTCAAGAATGCCCACACTGACCAAGACTGAACAAATTACTATACTCAGTACATCCAAACTTAACATGGCTATGGGTAGGGTAAATTATTAAAAAATCTACACAAAACAGCAATGCAATTACTTTTCCTGGTTCATAAATCATGATAAATTCAGGTTAGGGTTTGGAAAATGCCCCAATACAGAGAAAAGGTAAATTTTATATCAGAAGATACATCTACATAATTCAGAAAAGCACCCTCTTGTCAAAGAAAGTATTTGTTTCTTAATGTACATTTAAATCTCTATTATTTATATACATATATTCATTAAAATAGACTAAAAGAGGCATACACGTTCACTCTGTAAAGGACAATTACACAATTTTTTTAATTAAAAATATGTGCTAATCTCAAATGTTTACGAATATTTATGACGGACTTTTTAACAGTGATCTTCCAGTAACTAGTTGATAATTAACCATTAATCAGCACTGATTTTTTTTCATTCTATTTTTCCTTTCCTTGATCATTAACCATTAGTACCAAAGCAAACATAACTAGGTTAACCAGCAGTCTTGCCCTTACCTTTATTCAGAAATGCAGTCCAACTTAATCTTCTAAATTAGAATGGAAAATATACTTACCTTGAGTTTTAAAATCTTCTTGTAATCAAAATGGACTGCTAGTATGAATTAAATGCTCTCAACATAAGCCTGAAGTGACTTACATGACATTTTTTAATTATCAGCTAAACAAAACTGCTTTCCTTTTTGAATCCACAGTAGTAATGAGTCTGATCTTTGATATCATGTCTTAGCAGTGAGAAAGGATGCTCATCTGGCTGTTACCTGTCTGAGAGGATCAAACTCTCAAAGGAGTTCCCTAAAAGGAAGCTTTCTTTGGGTGTGGATAGTAGTATGTGCTGGGAATGAGAGGCGTACACCAGTCTTCCTGTTGAATTTGAGTTGATTTGGAAAAAAACAACAATATGTTTATTGCAGGAGAGGTAAGAAAGCAGTTCTATAAGCGTGTTTTGAGCACTCATCTTAATGCATGGGTCCCAGCTTTCCTTCACAGAGTGTATATTTTATCCAACTTATTCATATGAACAAGATTGCCCCAAAAAAACCCCAAAAAACAAAAACCCAACAAAAAGCTTTAAAAAGACAGATTTCGGAAAATTATATTTGAAGATTTGTTTTCTTTCTTTGAGTGCTAGGAAAAGTGATTTCCTCTAAAAGAGAATTACTTAATCAGCCATGCATATGTTCACTAATACTTCTCAAAGTTTGGAATTCCTTTTTCTTCACTGATAAAGCAGAACATTATCAGTGTCACAAAGCTCTGTTCATTGGTGTATACTGTTGATTCTGTTTGTGTGTATTTCCTGGGTTCATTTGTGGACTGAAGACTAAGCATCAATATTTTCACACTGAAATGCCAATACAGAAAATATTACACTGTGGTCTTCTCAGTGATGGATCTATTCTTCACTAATGTATATGTATTGTTCCTATTGACACTGTTTGGGTTTCCTCATTGTATAATGTCCCTGGGCCATTTTTTCTTTTCTTAGCTAAAAGCCAGTTTGTCTTCTTTCTTCACACAGTATAATCCCTCTGACATAGGGAATTCTTGGGAAGTAAAATACTACTCACTGTGAATTAAAAGAAGAACTGAGTCCACAGTTCAGTGCAGAAAAACAAATACAGAAGATAGTAATTTTTAAGCAAAACAGTGATAGCATATTTACCATATGTGCTATATTAAAAACAATTCACTAAAGTGCTATATGAATGTGTTATTTTTAGATCAATGTTCTAACATGATGCTCTTCTTTCTGCTCAGCATTGTATTGTGTTAGACATATGTTTTTGCTTTTATAAAGTGAAATAAGGAACTTGTTCATTATTGAATAATTAACATTCAAATAAAGAGCAAACTATTAACACCTTACAAAATATTTCATCTTGGAAAACTATTAAAGAAAGAAAAAAAAAAAACCAGACCAAAAACATGTCTAGCCATCTTCAAAATTGCAGCTTTCACTGTGAAGCATTTCAGAGATTCTGATGGAAATGATAGTCCTTTCTACTCTCATGGCAAATCTGTAGTCTTGTTAAGCTATATTTCAATAAGTATTTAAATATAACCACTAATGTAGGTCATGGATCATGAGCTCAGGGAGTGTCATATCCTCAAATAGTCAAAAGTACAGGTATTCGTGACCCGTAGCAGCACCACCAGGCATGTAGACTATGGCTAGATTGCTGCAAAAAATTGAAAGAGGAGCACATCCAGAACTATCTCAGTGTACAATGGTTGTCTAAGATCTGTTTCTCTCTACTGACTATGGTAGGAGCCTATGCAAGTGGCTTGGCCCGAATGTTAATTTCCTGGATAATTAGAGACACAGATCCATTTCCTTTGCATGATTACATATAAATCTAGATAAAAGCATGTGATACTTACAAACTTTTACAGATAATTTCCTATCATTAGCACCACTCTTCACAACAGGGATGCTCAGTATCTTCTTCATAAATACTATCCTGCAATTTCAATGAAAACAGTTTGTTCAGCTTTAAAATAAGGAATATGAATCTCCACCTTGAATCTAACACATTATTTATTACAGGTTAGTTTTAAAATTAAATTAAATACAGAGAAATATTAATTATAATAACATCTCCATAATAGTAATTTGTTCTTAAATTGGCATCTAGGCAGATAGTAGATTGTTTTTCAGCCACATTTCTAGATGTTTTTCAACTGTCAAACTGCCTACTACAGTGTCCCAAATAAAATTCCACTTTGTCTTGACAGTTGTAAAAAGGGTCTTAAAATTCCACATAGAGCTTGAAAGTAGGGTTATATTGCTAATTAAACCCTTTGCCAGCCCTTTTCTAGGCTTAGGTAAGAGTTTCACATTTAATGAGTAATGCTGATGCTCATTTCCTCCATTCAGCTGGCTAAATAGCTGCCTTCCTTCTATCTTGCTAGTCATTAACATTGGTTTTGCTTTCGCGAGTTCAGAAAAACCTGCCTGGCAGCTACGGAAATCTCAGGCTACAAATTCTCAAAAATACAGTGTTCATACATTAAGAAATGTTCCTGTTTCTTAACAGATGTACCGTTTCTTGAAAACTAGCCTAAGCACAGTGTTCAGTTTCTTGAGCTCTCCCTTGGTATTACTAGAAGTGGTTTTTCTTCCTAGATGACTACATCAAGCAGTAAAAAGAAATTTTACCAGGGAAAAAAAAAAAATTGCTATTCAATTTTTTTTTTAATATTTCTGCTGTATGACTGGACTGAACTTATCATTTAAAGGTGGCTGTTTGTCAGAGCACCGTCATTGTATTAACCCTTTTACAGAAAAAGGGAGCCTGTGATGACCCCTAGAACTGCTTTTTTTGCTGTCTCCATAAAAAAAAAAAAAAAAAAAAAAAAAGATTTATCCTTCAAAAGTATTGTCTTGGGCATGCACCTTGAAGTAGTACACAAAGAACAATATTTGCCCTATGTCCAACCTGCTGTACTGCAACACTGGAATACTTATGTCTACCAGAGCGTGGGTGGAAATGTAACAAGGATTAGTTACTATCCTTACTACAATAGTTGTAATATTTTTCAAAATAAATGTAAGATATATAAAGATTCTTTGGCTTAATGCCCTTCTCTTTAATCACTGTACCATTCAGTTTTCTTTTAACTGTAGGTACCACATTTTCAGCTGCTTAACCTGGGCCAAAATTGCATATAACCCAGGAGGACACAGCATAGTTCAAAGGAAATTTGAGAACAAGTTATTGCATACTGTGCTTCCTCAAATGCATATTTACCTTGTTCTGATAACCTGCATTTAGAATTCCTGCCAAATGGCACTCTAGATATGCAGTTTAAAATGCTTTGTTGTTTTGTTTGTTGCTTTTTTTTCCTTAGTACACCTTTCACCACTAAAAGCAGAGATCTTAAGGTAAAACTTAAACCCTTACATCAACATTTGCTGCTACTAAAAGTCCCTTGCTTTGCAGTGATGCCACTTCGCATATTTCGGTTCATCTGCAACTTTAGAGTCTACTCTAATTTCATGTTACATCTTCACCAGCACACGCAGGTATTCCCACCCTCTGTGTTAG